GAAGGACTGAGTCCCAGGAAAATGTCGTGTTTTCTGTGGTAACAGGGATACATGAACACTTGTCTTGCCAGGATTTTTAAATGCAACATTGCATCAGTTTTCTGTATCTTAGTGGCCGGTAGTTCCTGGGGTAAAACATGCTGCTCAGTCCCTTTCACTTAGTAACACCATTTTCACGCTAGTGGTGTTTACCCACCTTTTTGTGTATGAGGCTTGATCTTCATGGAATGTGTGCGTGTTGCTCTGTATGTTTGGGGATGTAGTCAGTTTTTACATAATCTTGTTTTAATTTTCTGCAGGTTTTGCAATTGAATTATCAGTAAAATATTGAAAGAGCCATACTACAAGACGCCATACAAAGTTAACGTTTGTCTGCATTGCCTTGTAATGAATTTTGCACTTACGATCACCAGAAATGCTAATAAAAAGCACTGTTCATTATTGCTGCCTTATGTTGTGACTACATCAATATAAGTAGGGAGGAGTTTAGTGATCAAAAATGACAGATAAGTGCTAAGTTTTGATAATGTATTGATTGACTAGGTAACTGGTAGGTTGTTACAGAGATTACAATACTGGGGTTAGAACCGTTTTACCTATATAGAAATGCATAGGTATCTTTTACAGTAAATATTTATGTTCTTTAAATAACCTTTAAAAAACCAGAGAAGCTTAAATACAGCAAGTGTACAAAACCATAACAGAGTATTAGCATAACTTCTACAATGTACAAATGTCTAGAGTAATATTTAAATGTGTTTAAAAAAAAATAATCAGCTGATCTCCTGAACTTTCAATATTTATAAATATTGAACTGGTAAAGAAAAACTAATGTTGCAGACAATGTTGTTGTTTTCATGATATGCTTGGGGGGGATTTCTTAATGTGTCCTGAAGTTCTTTTCCATCAGAAGAGATTTGCAGTCTGTTCCAATTAAAGAATTTTCCATACTGGAAATGAGAAGCCAATTACTACAATTGTTTTTGAATAGTTAATTTACATAACTGTAATTGTATTCATTCCCTTTGAAAGGCTGAAGCTGATATTTATAATGCATTGATTGATTAGCAGTGTATTTCTAATGTTAGAATTGCTACCGATAAGGTGCTCCTGCAACTGCAATCCCGAGGAGTTCTCTTGAATAAACATTTTAGAAGACAAATGCAGTTTGTTTCATGGGTGAGGAAAGGCATTGCATCTTTGCTACCTTCGCACGCAGTACTGGAACTCTCTCTTTACCACACTCTCTAGATTTAACTCTAGATCATGTTACTTAATTAATGGTGTGTTCCGTACTGTAAAGAAATAAATTTTCCTTGGTTTTTTTTTAATCTGTCAAAATAGTGCCTAGGTGTAGAATAGGGAACTGCAGGTTTTTCACTGAAGTCACTGGAGGAATGACAGCCATAAAACTTCCCCGCCTTGAGATGAGCGTGAGGCCTGTGTGGTTTAGCTCTGAGAAATCTTCCGGTGGCCGCTTGCCAGGCTGTATCACAGGCGTTTGCCTGCTATAGGCTTGCATCCGTGCCCTGCCCGCTCCAGCTTGGGGTATGGAAAAGGAGCACTGGCGTGGATACCGTGGGAACTGGGAGTGGGGGGGGGGGAGGTTTCTTCTTCTCCTGACTCTGCTGCGGGAGTTGGGGGGAGAGGAGGCCAC